ATTCACTTGGATGATGAGGGTTTATTACTTGCCTAAGAAATCTCAAATTTGATGAGAGAGTAAATGTGAAAGCTAACTAGAGGGTAGTACTAAAACGGGCATAACTTGAAGAAAAGATCTTGACCTATGAAGCTATTTATAGGCTCTATTATGATTTGAAATCCTAAGGCGTTTTATGTCAGAGAACTCTATTACTCTTAGGTTATACATATGGTAACCACTAATGGTAGAAGTGGAATATTTTCTCTAATAGTGGACTCGCGTACAGTCACGATGTTGGAATAATAACATAAATATATGCATGCCCAATATTAATTATCCAGGTAATTGATCGGAACGGGGCGAAACTTTTTATTCGAGAGTTGTTTTATTTTATTTTGTGTGAGGGATGGTGTAAGTTGGTGGTAGGCATTGTGATTATTACGTAACCTCCAAATCATCCTCTCACTACCACTCGRAAATAGGCATTGTGATTATTGTGTAATTTCCGAGATAAAGGGCTTAASATCACGTACGACTAAATGACTGGTTTAGGTTGATGTCGATGGTTTTAAACCTATAAGTGATGCTCTATAACGTTGAATTACGACTTACTTTGTGTTCGTCATAATCAATGGTAAATCGGGCCTCCCCCGTTATCCTCGGATGTTTTGACTCCTCTTGAAATATTTTAACTTTAGCTGTGTTCTTATAGTATTTAAATTGATGTTATCTATATTTAAAGGCTTCACTGTTCTTTTGCAATATTAATTGAACTCACTAGGCGTAAGCCTAACACTTCTTTTGATATGGCTTGTTTATCAGGTTCTTTTAGTGGCGGGGCCAAAATGGGTTGAGAGGAGCATTGGTTCGTGAAGAGGCTCTTTTGTAGTAAAGCCTTGATGTTTTTGAGCGTTTTGTTTGATGATACCGTACTTTTAGAGATTGATAGAAACACCCGTCTATAATCTAGTTGTAGAAAAATCTAGATTAGTAGGTTGTTATTTATCTTCTCGGTATTTGTTTTGTAAACGCCTTAGATTTCTTTTGTCGAGGGTATTTTTAATTCAAGCTTCCGAGTCTCGTTAGATTTCTTTTGTCTTGATTTATCTTTTAACCTGGGTGTTACAAGTTGGTATCAGAGCCTTAGTTTAAGTGAATTAGGCGAGGAACTAAGACGCCTAGACTTAAGCTGAAACTGTAAACATTAAATTCGCGAGCTATGGGTAGAGACTGTTAAGATAGGAGAGCTTTAGAGTCAACGGAGTTGCATGATTCATGAATTTATCGTGATGGTGTTGAGGATCCTTATGTATAACCTATTCAAAATTTCACTTAGCTAATGCTATTTTGAGTAAGTTGTTGCATGAGCATGCTTGGACTCACTGTTATTATAAAACAATTTATGATTGTGTCGGTACCGTATTATGTTAGTTATGTATATATATATATATTTTCCTTCTATTCTAACTCTCTATCACTCTCTTGTATAAAACAGACTTTATGGTGAATACTCGGAGTAGACGAGATACCTCACCTGAAGGTCAAGCGGTGACTGAATCTACCGCGGATCAACCACCACAGACCACCGCTAGGGTTCAACCGAGGCAAAGCAACTTGGGCGGTAGAGTTGAACATGTTCCCCAAGTTGACCTTGCCACCTCTAACCCTTTGATGGAAGAAGAAACCCCGGAGTCAAGAATATTGGGTAAAGTGATGAACGCTATGAACAGAGCCATGACTCAACAACAAGAGT